GTTCCCCCCCGTCATCGTCAATTTCTCTGTCAAATTCTCCTTCCATTTTTATTTATTTATTAATTAAATAGTTATTTATTTTATTTATTTTTTTATTTATCTAATCACGCCGAAGCAGCTCTTCATGAAACGCTTGTTTATGTCACTGGTGAAATCCGCAGTCGTTTTATGTCTCATTTGTCTTGCACACTTGTTAAGCGACTCTGGGTTTTGTGACTTCTCGTAGACCAGAATCACTGAGCTCCAAAACACCACACATTTGTGGCGTTGCTCATGAGCCCTAAGTGACAAATGACTTTTTGGAAAATTGCAGTGTTTAAAAAAACAAACAGTATGAGTGGGTGGCAGAAAAGTACTTCATCAAGTCCCAGATGCACAGCACTAGCGCTAGTTAAAGCACTAATTGATTTAAGATTGTGGCCTGATTGTGGCCCTGATTAGAGCCATATCGCTTACTTTCTTCCTTTTGATTTTGACTTTATTTATTTGCTTTGGCCATGTACACAGCTGGGCTCAATGTGTGCCTCCCTCCGCCCTGAGCCGTACTCGTAGCACACTCCCACATGTTTATGTTCTATTGTTGTGCGTACTTTGCACAGTGAGCTGTGAAACGTTGGCAGTCACATTGTCACATTCAGCTCCAGCATGTGATGAAGAGGTGAATACCTTTTGGAAATAACTAAATAACTAGCGCAATTGTAAAATTTGTAATTTTTTATGCGTTCCACTCAGTGGCATGTCTATTACGAGGGGTGTTCAGGTACCATGGAAAATGCTAGTGGCATTCTGGTACCATCGGGAATTTGAGAATTGTAAACAATTCAATGAAAAATAATTGCATTTGCCGATTACCATTCAATAAATGTCTTAAAAAAAACTAATTATTATAAACTTTCTGTTGTTTCCAATTTCAATTAGATGTGGATGAGTGTCTTGACAACAATGGTGGTTGCCAGCAAGTGTGTGTCAACACCATGGGGAGCTACGAATGTCAGTGCACAGACGGATTCTTCCTCAGTGACAACCAACACACCTGCATCCACCGCTCAGAAGGTAAGACTGCCCATCCATCCTTCGATGCATCCATCCATCGCCTTTTGCTTATTTCTTTTCATCTCATGGGGGTGCTGAAGCCAAGTTCAAATATGTATGGGTGAGGGCGGGATACACCCTGGACAGTCCGCCAGTCCAGCAGAGGGCCACATATAGAGACAAACGTATTCGTACGTAGGGTCTTACGTAGAGGAGTACCCTGACAGAACCCTTGCCCACGCAGGGACAACATGTCAACTCCGTTCAGCAAAGCTCAACCGGGGAATGGAACTTGCGCACCAGTGAGCTTCTTGCTGTGGAGCAAGTGTTCTACTGATGTACCACCGTGTAGCAACACAGTTTTTAGCTTGGGGGCTGCTATTCAAATGACCAGGCCTAAGTGATCTACCTACATTGAAAAGGTTTCTACATAAATGATGTGTTGATTGATTGAATCCGTACAGTAAATGGTCACTATTACACACTATAGAATTACAACTTAAAACAAATTTGATTTAATTTGATCAACGGTCCCCAACCTTTCTTGGACCAAGGACCAATCAGCCAGTATCAGCCGTTACTGCGGACCGGTAATACCATTCCATCGTTGAAGGATCATTTATTTTCAAAAGTCTGAATGACCTATTGATTTGAATCATTGACAGTTTATCTTTAAAAGTAAAGGGAGATGACTGGATTCTTTTGTAATCTTCTCACTGTGTCGCACTGTGACCCGGTACAAAATGACCTACGGACCCCCACTGGTCCCCGGACCGGGGGTTGGGTACCCCTTAGAACACCCTAGCATGCTAACCACGTCACTTAGATTGTAGTGAACCACACAAGTCTCGAGTGCCTCTTCAAGAGTCTTTTCAGTCCTGTTAGACACAAAGCACTTTGAAATCCCAGGGATCTGAGGCTAACCAGCTCTCCTGGCCTCACACACGGACGCACACCAGACACTTGATGTAATGTTTCACCGGTAAGATGTCTTTAAAACATTTGGAAACTATTACAGATGTTACATTTATTAGCTTAGTGAATGGAGGCAGTGTAGCAGTAAACACCAAACATTAAAGTCCTCTTCATGGTACATAAAGGAGACCCACGAGGGGACGGGGGAGGGCGGGTGAAGAACTGGCACTCCAGTGACCTCTGTCTCATCCCCTTACTCTGTACTTTGTCGCTGTGGTCACTGTTCGGTGCCAGTGTGAGGATGTTAGAGAAATCTCTGTAAGGATGCCGGGGGAATGGTGGGGAGCGAGGAGGGGGGGGTGGAAAAGAAGCAGAAATAGAAGTTTGTTTACAGACTCTCTACCCGATAAATATTTATATGAATTTCTCTTCCTTTCCCTCTCTTGCCTCACTTTGCTTTTAAATCTATTTTTGAAGATGAAACCTAACCTACGATGACAGAAACGTAGTGACACCTCTCTCTTATTCGGGAACGACTTTACAAACAACACACAGGACTTTTAGGAAGATGAGGAATCTACAGCAGTGCTAGAAAAGGAATGTTTCTGGGTGAGGGTGAGGGTGAGGGTGAGGGTTAGCACTGACATGGACAGAACCCATTCTGAACATGGCTCTTTATTTGTACAATGTATATATTTTAAACCTCAACGCTTTGTTTTAATGCAATCATGAGAAAAAAGAAAATTGATTTTATTAATACAAACCCCATCCATCCATCAGTCTATCCATCCATCCATCCATCCATCCATCCATACAGGGTTGATGCACCGCCACTTTCCCACACCTTTGAAAAAACACAAAAACAAAAAAAAAAACGTAACAAGCTTTCGTATAAAAGCAGCATGTTTGACCATGTTCAAATGCCTACTATTCAGGTATTATCACCACCACGTCCTACGTTTGTAACCAGTCATGACAACTACATTTGTATTATTATTTAGACCTCAGACTTACTATGTGAGTACACAGAATATTTCACTGAAAAATGTATGATTTCAGTAACATTAAAAAAAAAAAGTATTTCCAAGGTCCAAGGCATGAAAGTCAAACATAGTCTTTAACTGTGGAGCAGCAGCAGTCAGGTTTTCGGGAAGGTGAACGTTTGGGGTAGAAAAGAAGGAAAATAAACACAGTGAGACAAACATGGTTTAGTGGACCCTATGAGGCTTCATGTGTTTATTTGAAATTGTTTAAGGAGAGGAAGCAGACTCCACTCTGTTCACACACACACTGTTCACACACACACACACACTTCTACCTTTGTGGGCAGCTAAAGCCTTTGAATGTCTTTCAATGTCTGGTCTTTCAATAGACTAAAAAGAAAGGAATTTTTCTCCCCTGAAATGTTGCAATTTCCAGGATAACATTGGGCTTTAA